ATATAATATAATAAAATTATTGTATGCAAGATATAAAATAGCAATTGTAAAAAATGCTACTCAGTATTGCAGAAATGCTATTAATCAAATCAGAGTAATGAGTCCATCATCTGAAATATTTGTCATATTTGTGTGTTGTAAACATTCAGTATCCTCTTCTAGTTACTTTAGAAATATGCAACAATTGATAACTATGATCTCCCTGGAAAACCTTTATTTTTCAAAGAAAAAATTTTAAATTTTTAAAAATTACAGAGTATGTTTCTTGTTTTACAGCTAACTACTGCAATATTCCAAAAAGATATATGAATTTGCACATCCTTATAATATGTCCTTTTTAACAAACATCAACTTTACACTTTCAGAAATGTTTTAGGTGAAAAATATGCTAATTACCCTATTTGCTAGTTACCTAGTGTACATGAGTCAAAGGATATGCTAGTTACCCTATTATGCTAGTTACCAAGTGTACATGGGTCAAAATACATTATATCTACAAATACTGAAGATCTACAATATGTAATATATTGCAATCAAAACATTAAAAACTCAAAACAAAACAGAAGCAAATTACTGCTATGAAGGAAATAACTTAGCAAACTATATCATGTTAATAACTTTCAAAGAATAATTCTCAACAAATGCATTTCCTTTCCTTGGGAAAACCCAAGTTAATATCATACTAAACTTGTCATGTAGACAATGGGTTGAATTACAATCATATATTTGTGTTAGTTCACATATGCATAATAAAATTATTTTAGGCTGAAGGTAGTTTTAAAACTATAAGTATTTTTACAAACCTTTGAAAAAATAATCTTTAAATTACTTTTTGTTGAGCTTTCCACAAGTATTTCTCTTTGTAGGACAGTGTTCATTAAATTTTGTTTTATGGAACAATAATAAAAGATATTCATAGAATAGTAAAATATTTCTTTACCTCCAGTTTATTTCTTGAAGAAGTGGGTTTCCCATGAGAGACAGTTCACGGAGAGAATAGCATCCATCAAACCATTTCATGGCATTTTTAAGATCTATTTAGGAAATAAAACATTATGCAAGGCATCACAAGAAAAATAATATAAAATATCATCTTGTTTAATTGTTACCAGTTAAAGGAAGGCATTTTTACATTTTTTGCATATATAATACATGATTTTTAAAGGAGAATGAATTAGGTTAAGAACATAGACTACTGCAGAATAGCCTCATCATTTAGCATCTATGAAATTAGGCAAACCTTCCTTAAAATCCACATTCACATACAGAGTGAGTATTAAATCAGATAATATTTGTAAAATGTTTACACTGTTTTGTGCCATATCCTAAGCACAAAATCTGGTGATATGAAATGGAAACTAATAACATATGTGATGTGGGAATTAGGGTGGAGCGTCAACCTGATTGTCTTTGGGATCCACCAGGAGGATTCTAGAGCACATAATATATTTCTAGGGTCATAGAAGCATGGCCTCAGGGTCTTGACCCTCACCCTTTTCCTTTTTTGCACTGTTCTCCTGTTCCACAGCTACCAAGAACTAAGGATCTTTGCTCAACTACACACTTTTACTATGATGTTTCTCCCCTGAAGGTGGGCAAGCACGGACTGAATCCCCAGAAACTGTGAGCTAAATTAAAGCTCTTTCAAATTATGGGTGCTGGGTAGTGTGTGCCTGTGATGGAAAACTGATTAATTTAGGTGATAAAACTGAAATGTATCTAAATAGAATTATACATCCCATTATACTTTTAAATGAAGAATAATGTGTAAATCTACAATACATTACAGAGTAACGCATTTGAATTGCCTTCTAATAGAAATCAACCACAATCCGAGGAAAAAAAAATACCTATCATTTGTCTTCAAGTCTGACTTTAAAACTGAAGCTGAAATTTGTGGAGTACAAATCCTGAGAAGATAAATGTGTCCATGTTAGGGATATATGTGTGAGGATCTGCCTCACATCCTTCAGAAAGTGCTGGTGTCACATAGGTTAGATAAGACTGCAAAACCTAGCAAAACCTACACAGGCTGTAGGACTAAGAACTAAACTTGTACAATAACATTCCTGCACCAGTGAAACACACTAGAGCTGTAGTATAGGAAGTATGAGATCTAATGGGACATTTAAGAAATCACCTAAAATGTAGAAAGATTATGCATCAGATATTAAGGCCAGGCAGTGGAGAGGAGCACGAACTAAGAGTTGAAGGCTAGAATGACCTGCCCAAAGAGAGGATAAAACAAGGACTGACAGAACCAAAATTATTCACCACTAAGCTAACTACCTGTCAGAATAAAACTTAAAATCATTTAAAAGAAAATGATATCTAGATTCGCTAGGCTGTATTATCTACAATGTTCCATGTGCAGTTAAAATGTATTAGAAATATAAAGAAATAAGAAAAATAAAACCATTGGTAGTAGAAAAGCTATTAATAGAAGCACATCCCAAAGTAACCCAAATATAAAGCAAATCTTTGATAAAGATGCCAAAGTAATTCAGTGATGAAAAAGTTTATTCAATAAATGTTGGTGGAACAACTGTGTATTTATATGAAAAGATGAACTCAACCCTGTTTTCATCACAAATAAATATTAATTTAAGATGGATTAAAAACCTAACGCTAAAGACTAAATATATAAAGCCTCCTCAAGAAAGTACACACATAAAAGTTGCTTATCAAAGTGGAGAAACATTTATTACAAATTGTGAATACAATACAGAAATTAAATTTCATCAAAATTTTTAAAATTCTGATTTAAATATACTGTTCACAAAATTTGCATGTACAACAAGCTAGGAGAAAAATATTACAAAATACATTATCTGATTAAAAATTTCAGGCAGAATAGATAAAAGAAATTGTCTGAAAACCAAAAAGAAAGAGGTGAATAATCTAAGTTTTAAAATTGTAAGGCACTACAATATATACATCAAAAATATAAATTAGTATTTGCAAAAAAAAAGACTCAATATCTTTATTCATTAATGAAATATAAATTAAAGCCATGGTATGATAATCCAATGATATGAAACTTATAGAGTGGAATAATTGGAACTCATGCATTACTGGTGGCTGTGTAAAAATAATACAATTACTTTGGAAAAGGAATAAATAAATGGATAACAAATTGTTATATATTCATATGGTGGATTACAAGTTAGCAGAAAAAAAGGTCCTAAATAAACAGTATGATAGAATACCATGTGAATACTGAGCAGATAAAGTAAAAAGCTAAAAACTACTGTTTGATCTCCTTAGAATAAAGACAAAATTAACTTATTTTGATAAAGTCAGACTGTGTTCATACTGTGATTGTCTCTATGAGTTAATTAGGAAAATCTTTTGAAGGGGATTAGTTAATTCAATTCATGATGCTTTAATAAACTTAATGGCCATCTATACTTGTTGGGAATCAACAAACTGTAATTTTTTTTGTTACTCACCTTTCATAGGTAAAAGATATGCATCTTAAAGTTAAATCATTAATTTGATGATTGCTTAGGCCTATCACAAAGTTAAAGATAATATTATTTTAAAAGGTAAAAGACAATTTCAAACATTATTCCAGTGTGTTTTATTGTATAGATTTACTGTTAGTAAATACATGTATTCAAATCAGTAACTTACCATATTTGGCATAGAAATTCAAAGTCTATTATATTTAAACAGTTAAATATTATTTTAAACTTACCAGAAAGACAATTATTGCTGATATCTAGTTTTTCCAAAGAAATAAAATGAAAAAGCGGTACAATTTTTGTCAAACTGAAAACAAAAACATAAAATTTATTAAAAATTACAAATGAGCATATTATGAATATAATTGATATGACTGTATAAAATAATTATATAACAGTTATATAATTATACAAAATTATATGCAAAAGTATATAATTGCAATTGTATAGTACAATATAATCATAACATTTACTAACAGTACTTATTAAAAATACCATAATCATAGGAGTCTAAGTAATTCCTACTAAGGAATACTTCTATTCATTTTTACAAAGAAATTGCTATGAAATATTTGCATAATAAGAGATTTTAACTCATGTTAAAGAGAAATTGCCATGGGATTGACAATTTCAGCCACAAACATCATAGATTTTGATGTGTATTTACTATTAAAATTCAAATAAGTGATTTTTGGTTTATTTTTTTTTCTTTCTTTGTATCAAGCTAAAGTTATACAGTTTGTCCGTTGTATTGATTTTCTTCCTTTGGCTCAAGTATGTGACCTGAATCTTTAACATACAAACATACAAAATCACTTTTCAGTAGGATAACTGAGACGATAATTTTGTTTTTAATTTAAAAAATGCTTTGCTTATTAGATTGAAAATATTATAAGTACTAAGTATCCAAAGTTATACTAATTCAAAGTTGAAAATATACACAATGTACAAACAGTAAGCCCAAGGACCACAAACTCATAAAATGCTTTATATTAATATCATACATTTAAATTTAGCAGAAATACACTAATATTTAAAGTTGACACTCATTAGTTATGCATACTAAAATTGTAATAAATGAACTTTCCCATTCTTTTAAAAGTTTGTATCATTTATTGTTAAAATTTTCATTAAGAACTTATATTCAAACAAGATGCATAAATGTTATTGACAATGCGCACGTTCTTGGCACAAAAACTATGAAGAGAAAATGATCCTTAGTTTGAGTTGCGTCTCCAACTAAGATACTCTGCAAAGGAGTGCTGCCTTCCTATAGCTATTGGAAGTTAAAATTAAACCATCTGAATTAAAATTAAATTATCTGAATCTTCAAATAACACAAAACTTCCTTTTCACAAGGTAAAGTCTCATCAAAACTGCAAGTCCTCTAAGTTAATTCCCCTTATAAATGTTGGAATTCCACAACTGCCCAAAAAATGATTCAGCTAGGAATATCTCTGCTACAAAAAAAGTCCTCATTAATTTACAGTTCTATTACCCTTCCTCCTCTTCCTTTCTCCCTCTTTCTCTCTCCCTGTCTCTCTCCTCTCTCCTCTTTTTTCTTTCCCCTATCTCTCCAGTGGTCCTAGCAGTTATTTAACTCTGTGTTTCCATGAATTATCTGTCACTGTTTTTCTTTTTTTAGGAAAAAAAAAAAAGCACCCCTATTACTCTAAGGTCAGAAATCACAGAACATAACACTGACTGAAAAACCCAACAGCCTCTTGGCGTCTGGCACAAAATCAAGCCTCCAGGTGACCTTGACTATTCTCTGTACTATCCTGTTCTGCATTAGTAGAAAGAAGATACTTTTGATAAAAAATTTCGACTAAATAATGAGACTAGAAGGAAATTTCTCTAAATGTTATCAATCCTCAATACTATAATATTACTATTCATATGAAACCTGTACAATACTATCTTCTTTAAAAGAGTTTCAACAGGGCAAGATTTCAAATAACTTAAAAGAGAATGCGAGAAAAATGCTGGTCATTACATTTATGAGTACACTTCATTATTTGTATGTTCCATAATAGTAAAATTTGCTGTCATGTCAGTGGAGGTGGATGGAAGAAAGAAAGGAATGAACAAACGAACAAATGAAGACAGGTGAAGAGAAGAATGGTGGGGAATGAGGAAGGAAATTAAAAAGTTGTGGATATACAGTTATTGGATTTAAATATTTCACTATATTTCTTGTACATTGTGATAATGATGCATTCTGATATCATTATCACAAGAAATTTAAATTCTTCAAGGGAAAGTGTAAATGTATTCCTCAGCAAGAAAATTCTTTGTGTTATAACTTTAATATATTTCTAATACCAAATCTTTGCCCTTCTCCTGAAAAGAATTTGAAAGACTAATAGCTAATGGCATACTAAATCTTCCGGATGTACTCATTTCTCCTCTTTCTTTTAGAATACGGTATCTCTTATTTCTAAATATTATTTAGTTATTTGGTAAATGATTAAGATAGAAAATTAAAATAACCAATAAAGTTTTAAGATTAAAAAAGACTATAAAAATTCCTTTTACAAAAATCAACCTAAGCAATATCTGCTATGACCAAATATTTTCGTAGGATAATAAAATTTTATCTTTTTTTTGGAACTATGCTTTCTTTAAGAAGCTACTTTTTCTTAAAAACTAACTGGCTATATTCACCTTTATGACTATTCATTATAAGAAGGTAGAAACCTAATCATAGAATCCCTTTTTTTCAACCTCTAAAACTTTTCCTTTTACTGACATTCTGTGTATATTTTTTCCAAGAAAATTTAAACCAGAAAGATAAAGGACATTAGCGAAAACCTAATACCACTTGACCTTGTCACATTAGCCCTGGGCATTAAAAAGATATAAATTTCAAAGACGACAAAAAGCAAAAGATTTGTACATTGAACAGCCAATGGGTAATAGTTTCCATTTTCTGCTCCTAGAAAAGCTTAAGAAGCCAGAGAGTCTTCTGGTTAGAACTTGGCTGAGTCAAACTTAAAACAGTGACATGTCCTAATGAAAATCTAAAACAGAAGTCAGGATGAAACAAGCATTTCAAACAATACGTACTAAATATCATTCTTTATATGTATTCCATTTGTTGGGAGGAAAAGCATATGGATGTATAATTTCTTCCTTGTGATGAAAACATTTACCAAAAATTAAAAGAAAAATATATACAATTTAAAAACCATGCTAACCACAAATCCAAACACACACACACACACACACACACACACACACCCTCATATTTCTATATATACACATATATAAAATTCTCAGGTTTTAAAAATGTATCCATATATATTTTCTGCTTTGATTATCATTAAAAACAGGGTAGGTAGGAATTATTATACATTCTACATGTTTGTGTGTGTCGGGGGTCAGGTTCAGAGAGTGAGGAATAAATGGCTCAACATCAGTGGACGGGTTAGAGAGATTCAAAATACAAACTCAGACCTGCTGATTCTGAGTTTTATCATATATAGTTCTGAAACAACACATATAAAATTGTGATGTGAGGTGACACATTTCCACAGTTAATGGTATTCATTCTTTTGTAAAAAAAAATCCTAAGGTTGAAGATTACATTGAAAATAAGGTGCTAGGAAATGGTTTTACTATTTGCTCATTCCATCAATTACATTTCCATGCTAAGGGCTCGAGTCTTTTCTCTTCATCTCAGAAACAGGCAAAGAACTTTGAAAAACTTAAAAAGGTCATCTTCAAAATTAATGACAGTATTATTTAAATTTTCAAAATGGCATATACTATATCATAAATCATTTTTAGTGATAAGCTTAACAATTAAGTACTATATTTTGAAGAGTTTTTAGAATAAGTAATATACCACTCATTTTTAGATCTCTGAATGATATGTCAATATTCAAATGCTATAAGGTTAGGCAAACAAAAATTATAAATAGGGCTCATTTAAATTAATTATCCAAATTATCACTGTTAATTATAAAACAATCCTTTAGCTTAACTACCGTTACGTCATATTGATATGTATGTGTCATAAGAGAATAAAAGATCATCACTAAGTCCTAACTGTAATTTCTAGAAATAGAATATTTCTTTGATCACTTAAATCATCTAATGAAAGTAAAGGCATTAAAGAAAAATTCTAATCTCTTTAAATATTTTTCTGATCTTTAATGTGGCTTGATAGTAACTTCTATAAAATACACTAGATGTATCAATTCCTGATTTACTGCATATGTCCAAAATGTAGCTCAGTACATTATTTTGAAACTGTATTTCTCACTTGAAGAGCACTATGAAAACATCAGAAGGGTTTGTGGTCCAAAATCCTCACACAATATTATCTAATGGAACTGGCTTTAAAGCCCAACCAAAATCCTTTAAAATAAATAAATTTTCATTTTAGCTTTCACTGAAACAATGTGAAGGGATTTTTGAATACAGATTCAGTACAGTTGTCAAACTTTAACAGATGGAGGTTAAATCTTTTAGTAGGTACATGCTCGAATGATGAGCACTGTTATGACAGAGATCAAGAGTTTTATATGTATTTTGGAAAAAATATACATTAGTTTGGTTATCCATATTCACTTGCTTGGTAGCACTGGATAGCTCAAAACTAATTTCTTGTTAAAATGTGATTCCTTTACCCTACTCTGTGTGCCTTTCATGAGCAAATTAATCCTATTACAATGAACAGGGCTCAATGAAATATTAAGCAGAAAAAGAAGGACACATATTTTACTCCCGTTGTGGTTTTAGACAGTGATTCTCTATAAAGGTCCAGATGTTTGGTGTTCTCAAATGAATCTTCTGAGGCAGGTACCTATTTCATTTAATGTTAAGACATTTTTACGTGTTATTTTATATCCTTGGGGAAATCAAATTTCAATCCATCTTAACAGTTACAAAAAGACATGCAAGCTGAGACCAGATTAAAAATCATTCTTTCAGGGCTTAATAAGGACCATTTGAGAGAATGAGACATCCTTCTGAACTAAATTAGCTACCTCCTGTATTTTCCACAGACCATTCCTTACAAATATAAACAAACTTGCCCTTTGAGATTTTGACATATGTATCTTTAAGAAAAAAAAAATGCAAATATATTATAAATTAAAATTTTGCTAAAATAGTATGGAAATCCATCACTTTAAATTTTGAAATTCTATGAAGTATTTTTATAATTTAGGTACTAATTATTTTTTTATATTCGCTCACTGAATTCCTGGAGGTACCCAAACTTTCCTACTTATTTATGAGCACCACACATTTATTTTAAGTAATAATTGTTTGCATTTATTTTTCAGTAAAGTATATATTACCTGTTCTGAGAGATAGTCAGATTTTGTAGTAAAGGCAGCCAATATGAAGAAAATCCTTCCACAGTTGATATACTGTTATCATCCAAATGTAATTCTCTTAGTAGAACATGATTTCCCAAGGATGGAAGCTAAATTTCAATATAGTTCATTAGTTTATATTTTGTCAGCTAACTAAATTTAAAATTATAAAACCCGCCAAAACTTACAACAGATAGATTGTGCTAAACTGTAAATCATTAGAGTACAATGTTGTAACAATTTTAGTAGGAATAAAATTTCCAGTGATTAACTTCACAATTTCTAATATTCTTTATCAAAGGTATTTCATGATAAGTGAAATTATATCTTAATAGATAAATTTAGTTCAAATTATATACCTTAATAAATCTAAAATGTTATGATTTATTGTATTTCAGTACTATGATAAAATAACTTTAAATTAGATTCATAAAACATTGCAACTATTGATCATTTTTAGGTAAAGTAAAATATAAAAGAATTAAAAATAAATTAGACATCAAATACATCTTACTGGTAAAAAAACATTTAAAATTGCCCTTTAATGCGTGGTTGATAGTTCTATCAAAAAATGTTACATTCACCCAGACAAATTAATTTAAGACAATTACCTTACTTAGATAATTTCCCTGTAACTTCAATACTTGAAGCAATCCACAATTTTCAATGCCCTCAACATCAGTAAGATTATTATATGAGCAATCCAAATATATAATGGTAGGTGTATCACAAAGACCTTTTGTACTAATTAATTGATTGTGGTCCACAATTAGTTGCTGAAGATTTTTCAAAGATTCTAAACCACCTGAAAGAAAACTTTTTTTCAGATCATGTGCATTATACATTCTCCTCCACATGTTTTATTATTTAACTATCATCTGAGGGATATATCTTTTAACATTGTAGCTATATGTCAACTTAAAACTGAATAAAATACTTAAAGGTGTACTTAAATATGCTGAAATCTGAATTTTAAAAAATAGAAGAAGGAAGAGAGATAATCTGAGAGAATTTTCTATTAACTTACTTGGAGAGGAAAATGCATCTGTGATACCTTTCAAGGGTCACCCAAGGTCGGGGGGAAAAAACACGAATAAACATTAGGTTACACAATGAGGAAAGGTAAAGATTTTGGCTGAGGAAGCTTAAAGGAAATGGTGGACAAAGCAAGAGAACAATTGGAAAAGGAAAACAGAAAAGGAAAACAATTCTGTGCATGAGAGATCAACAAGAACAAACATAAAATGACACAAACATTTTAGTGAAGAAAGGCAGTTTCTAGTAAATTACAGATAGTCAGCAAATGCAGTCAGGCAGAGCTTGCAAAGGAATAAGACCAGGTCAGTGGCGCTCTGGTGGTGAAGCAGCTGAAAACTTTGCTGGAGGAATGAATGGAGTAATCAGGATGAAAGCTACAAAGCAGTGGAAGGGCAAAAATTGAAATAAGACTGCTTTTTAGATTTTGTTAGAGGAAAGAAGTTTCCCAAAATCCTTAAAATGACCTACAAAGCTATATGATTTCTCTCTGGCTATCACTCTTAGTTTATCCTCTACCACTGTTTCCTTCTGTCAGTTCTTTTTAACATGCTGGTCTCTTGTTGTTCCTGAAATCCGCCACACCTAAGGGATGCCATACATAAGGCACACACAGTCACTGTGTGGCATGTCAGTATCTGAGCCAATATCAAACATAAAGAGAGTGCTTTATTGTCCATGATTATACAGAAAAGCTAAAATTATTTTATTAAACAATCTGGTGGAATAACTATAATTTCCAAACCTTAGACTTTTGAAGAATGTTTGACCTAGCATTTCTACTTCTGCAAGTATTGATCCATTACATAGTTATACACAAATATACACTAATATATAAAAATATCCCTTACCATGTTATTTGAATGGAAAGAAATTAAGATAAGTTAAATGTTCATCAATAAAGACTTAAATAGATTGTGAGGTATCTCTAAAATGAACATACATTAATCTTCAATATATAGAAGAATTGACATGGAAGGATATCCAGGATATGTTAGTCTATGCAAACCAATACAGGTTTTCACCTATTGAGTAAATCTAAATCTCAACATAGGTACTTGAATCTGAATCTATGCATGTATAATTGTGTTGCATAGGAAAAGATCTGGATTGATTCATACGTTAACTGTTCACCATGATAAACCCTGTAGGAGAAAAGAGAAAAAAGGTGGACAGACAGATAAAATCTCACAGCTTAAACTCTTTACATTTCTATTTTACAAGTTTTCAAATTAGAATGAACTCTTTACTTTTTTAAGCAATATATTTGAGGGAAAAAAAAGTAAATATCAAAAAGAATGGTTATTTTGTATTTACGTGGACCTCTGGTCTTTACTTTGAGCATCGCTTCCTGCTCCAGAGGGGAAGATGGTGCACTATTCAGCCTCCTGGAAAAGCTTGTCACACTGGCTTTCCTGATATGAACTTAACTGTTCACATCATCAGAGGAGCTCAGGATGGCTGTGATACTTTTCAGGGAAACTCTAGTCCTTACTATGAGTGTCACTTCCTGGCTCCAGTGCAGACCTCTCAACCTGTTGGCACAGATCCTTCATCCTGCTGCACAGACTTTCTAGCTTCTTCTATCATTGACCTTAGGGCCTTCCTAGTGCATATCCACGAAGCAGACTTGCATGAAGCACTGTCATGGGCTCTAGGTCTTCAGCTAGACTAATGCAGGACACTGCTGTGTGATCCAGGCCCTCAGCTGGATTCTTTGGGTCTTTAGTGTGTGGACAGACTTCCTGCACTCTATTGAACTTGACTCTTTAGTGACTATTCTAAAATAATCCTATAGATTATGTGTCCTGTATTGTTTTCTTTGTAAACTCTGAGTACAATAGTCAGTCTAATGACAAAATTAAAGAAAATTATACACAATGCAGAACTGAGGTCCACCCACAACCACATGAATATGTTCAGAAGTCAATCTTTTGGCTTTCTCGAGCCATAGGAGGATGCCCATCCTCATCAACAGTTCAACTGCAAGTTTCCAAGGGACTCTGGGCCAGAACCACTCAGCCAAGCCACTCCTAGATTTCTGATGCATAGAAAATGTGGGGTAATACATGTTTGTTGTTCTAAGTTAAATTTCCCATAACACAATATATCTTAAACACAATGGAGTAATGATCACAAAGTACTGAGTGAAAGTGTGTTCTACAAACAGAAGGTACAGCCAAAGCTCTCATCCAACGATGAATACCACTGAGACACACTGTAGGATGTTAAAGAAGTCAAGAAAATCATACTAACTTTGAAACATTGGACTTATAAAAGACCTAATGAATTACATAATCCAGACAAGCAAGAACTGTCCAGCATAAATACAATGATTCTCCAAATACTTTCAATCTGAAGTTCATTGAATCCACAGATATAGAACTCACAGATATGATGGAAGACAAACTGTACTCTCATATTTTGAATTCTCCAACTCTGCATAAAGACCCTGAGTCACAGTAAGAGGAAGGGGCACATTAAATCTAAACAGACTGTGTCCTAAGATTACCACAGATAGTAATATGAGATTAAACTAATAGAAACAACAGACAAAAAAGAAAATTTTTGAAGAGAAAAAAAACTATCTTTGAAAGTCAACAGTTAGACTGATGTGTATCAACCCAAGGAAAACCTACAAAAATGGAATACATTCACAAATAGAAATTGTATTCCAAATGTTAATTCAATATTATATATAATATATAAATATATAATAGTATTAGTATATATATTAGTATATATTAGTATATAATATGTAGCATATATTATATAATATATACTACATATACTATACATAGCATTGACTTAAATTTATGTATATGTGTTTGCATGTACACACATGTGTGCATTAAAAATATTAAACAAAAAATCTTCATGAACAGACTTCATCAAAGGAAACACTAATACATATTCTTTAAGTAAAAGGGACACTGTAGATGAGAGATAAAGTAAAAAGCAATAAAAAGGCTATACTTTATTGCTACTTAAAAATACTACCATGTTCATTAGGACCACCAAGGGAAGTATTTCCCTAAAGTTTAGCCATTTAAGCACTCTGAGACCTCTGCAACCATGGTCCTGGAGGCAAGGCTACTGTTTGAGCTGGGAGAAGATTTGGCATCATCTGTTTGGTACTGAATTTTCAGGCTACAGAATGCAAGAGCTGTGAGTTGATAGAGGTTTCTATACAGATTTCAAAGAAAGGCCTGGGAGGCTGAGCCATGTGTCTGGAGATGGTGTTGCATGCAGCTGCAAAAGTGAAGCTCAATATCACTAGCCATCAGAGAAATTAAAATCAAAACCATCAACATACAATCTTACTCAAGTCAGAATGGTCAAAAAAGGAAAAAAAAAAACTACAAGTGCACAAATAAGAGAACTTTCATATATTGCTGTGAGGAATGTGAATTGTTATAACCAATACAGAAAACCCTATAAAAATTTATTTTAAAAAAACCCAACATTCAACTTGTATCAGATCCAATAATTATACTTTGGGGTATATATTCAAATGAAATGGAATCAACATATCAAAGAGATGCCATACCTAGTCTTCTATGTTATTTGCATTTTTTTCCTATATGTACTTAAGCACTTTTCGCATGGAACTAACCAAGTTTGTTTGGTGAATGGATAAAAGAATATATATATATTAAGCATAATATATTATTCATCCAGAAAAAACAGTAAAGTACTATCATTTCCAGCAAAATGGAAGTAGAAGGCGTTACAGTGAAGTCATCCAAACATAGGAAGAAAAGTAGCATGTAATCTCATTTATATGAAGAAGCTAAAAAAGTTGATCTCATAGGGAAAAAAGGAGAAACTAGAAAGGGTTAATGGGGGTTTGGGATAGAGGTTTGTTGAAGTAGAGGTTGCAATTATAGTTAAGAAGAAATTTTAGCATTCTACAGCACAGTCAGATGACTTTAGCTTATAAAAACCTATATTAATTGCATGGAGAACTAGAAAATTTCAAAGACTTCAATACAAAGAAATGATAAATTGTAAAGGAGATAGAAATATTAAATACACTGAGTGATCACTATACATTTTTACAGGTATTATATTTTCATACTGTACCTCAATAATATATATGATTATGTGTCAATTAAGAAGAAAAAAAAATTGAGTACTCTCAAAGAGTAGGGACAGGGTATGTGAACACTAAGCCAGTGGTTCACAAAGTGTGGCTTGAGAAGCCCAAGAGATACTCTTAAGATTGCTTCAGGTGTCTTAGTTACTTTTCTCTTGTTGCTGAGACAAAATACCTGACACCTAAAGTTAAAGGAAGAAAGGTTTATTTGGTTCACAGTTTATAGAGGATTCAGTCCATAACCAGTTGGCTCCAAGGCAGGGTGGCACAGCAGACAGTCATCACAGAGAAGAAACAGTTCATAGCAGGCAGAAGGTAACAAAGCTATAAGGATGACCACAGCTCTTTCTATCCCTTATATCCTATCCAGGCTACTTATGGTGGATAGCACTCTCACCCTTAATCCTGGTGCCCTTGATCCTAGCATCGTACCATGATTCAATCCCACGGTCACATATTTTAGAATCAAGCCACCTCTGAAAATTCCCCATCTATGACTGCATGAGCCATTGGGGGCATATCTAGACACAAGCTGTAACATTCCACGCCTGCCCAACCCAAAGATTCATGCATATTTCTTTAGGCTAAAGGCATTTCATCCATCTCGAAGAGTTGCCAAAGTCCTAACAGTTTCAGCATTGCTGAAAAGTCCACATCCAAAGTCTCTGAGA